GCAGGTGTAGTTTATGTTGAAGTCCTCCTCCTTCAGCTCAGAAAATATCAGCCAGGTCTCTAACCACACACCTTTACTGGAGCCATCTTGGGTCAGCAAACTGTTGAGGACAATGAAATGAGATGGTCCTAAAATTCCCAAAAGTCTCAACGTTCTCAAAAGTAAGCAAATAAAACAAATTGATGGAGAGTTAAGGTACTGACCGCTGTTCTAACATGTAGACACGATGAGAGGTGTTAGTCTCAAAGAATCCATCTTTGTCCAACCAATAAAGATAAGCGGAAAGCTTCCCAACACCCGGCACAAACACCAGGCACCTTTTACTGAAGTTGTACCCTGAACACATGCACAAACAGTAACTCAGTATATACATGAAACTGTATTTCTTTAAGCTCTATCAACCAAAAAATTTATTTATTGAAACATTTTTATATTCATTGCTATGTTCATCCTAAATTATGGTCTGTCCCTGCACTATGGAAAGAATTAAAGCAAAAGTCTTTGACTTTCAACACAATATGTTGGCCTAAATGAAGCCTGAGATACATAAATATTAAATCAACAGAACACCACATTTCTCAGAATATCATAGATTAGAAGACTTACCTCGCTGTGCTTTGATTACTTCATTTGAGGGTTCATGCACTTGTGGAACCAAAGAGTAATTCTCTGAAATAGAGAACATCAAATACTGCGTACAGTAGTCTACAGTAGAGGTTGGACAATCACAAAGATGTGTTGGAAAGGAATGATATTTTCCACTATGCAGTTTACAGTAAGCAAACCTAAGCCATCACAAGATCACTGACCACCTGGACCCCTATAAACAGACTCCCTTCTAGATGTCTGGATGGTGGGTTTTAGGGAGGTCTTGGGCTCTCTCATGTTGGGCTAAGGAGGTTTAATGCACGTGATTGCAGAAAGACTGAGTCCTGGGGGAAATGTTCTGACCCTAGTAAAGATGTGTTTATTAGTTCAGCTAACATTTTGGTTCACACTACTCGAAATATTCAGTACAAGTTTCAAAAAGAAAAATTACTCACAGTATGCTTCTTAGCTAATGACTTGCCATTGGCAAGTTGTTAATTTGCTATTTTGTCCTGTAAACCAATTTGCCCAATGCTATGTTGCATAGAAAAAAACAATTTGAACAATGTTTACTGTGTCGTCACTGTCATTAGAAAAATCCCCTTTATGTATGGACAAAGAAACTGCTGAAGTCATTTTCTGTTTCTACAATCTCACCTTTGACCTCTGCGTTAATAGACTCTGATACAGACCCTTTGATTCCACCCAGGGTGAATGTCAGAGTACAGGTATAGGTGCCTTTGTGTTGAAGGTCCACGCTGGTAATTTTCAGTCTGGTACCCCAATACTCATAGCTGCCTGTTCCGTCTATGGGGTCACAACCCTAGGAGGAGAAACAAATGGGTCTTGTTTTCAAATTCACAAAACAAAAGACAAGTATCTGTTCAAAATTATGATAAACAGTGCAGTTGGTGAGTTTACAGCTGCTGGGATCCCATTTGAGTGCAACTTGGCGATTGCTAACTACATTTCTACTATTGATAGCAGGATGATATTGATCTTTTGGCCAGAGGGGCTGATGGCGCGATATGGCAGCCTCGCTTCTGTCAGTCTGCCCCAGGGCAGCTGTGGCTACAGCTGTAGCTGCCTCCACCAGTGTATGAATGTGAGAGTGAATGAATAGTGGCATTGTAAAGCACTTTGGGTGCCTTGAAAAGCGCTATATAAATCCAATCCATTATTATTATCATTATTATTATTATTATTTTGAGTAAGCACTTTCAAAATGTGAAAGTTCAAAATGGTTGTAGTTGCACAAAAGATGAAAATATACCAACAAAAAACACATGAATACTGGGATCTGCTTTCAGTCAAATTGTAGATTTTAAACACTGGTGTCAGAGTTTCAATACATTCCTGGTATTGATAGAAGTTGGAATAGTGGTAGTAAATACTTGAGGCTGCAGCTACTGTGCAGTCTCTCCATTAAAACCATTGTGTTTCATGCAGCACTCAACAATAATTCTCGAGAACTCACTCTGTACCACTTGATGGAGGAAGAGATGTTGTAGCTGTTCAGCTTATTCATTTCGTTCCTCAGAGGGCAGCTCAGGTTGTCAGTGACTCCTTTTGTAAGTAGCTGATCAGCTTTCCTCGGCCTTCCACATTCTCCTGTAAGTTTTTCCTCCACCACCAGTCGGCTGGCCTGCCTGTAGCAGTGGGAAGGAGTCCTGTTGGGAAATTAAGTAGAAATATTATGAATGAATGGATAATTAGGCACACTAGTCTTAGCAGTGAAGGACATTTTTGACCCTCAAACTCAAATGAGAATTCAAAAGTGCTTTAAATTTGAAATCTGAAATGATGTGTAAAATCTTTATTTCCTGCTATAGTGGATATCAAGGCATCTAAGCTGGAAAACATGGTAATGGGCATGTATGCATGTATACTTTAAGTGCAGCATCTAAATATAAATTCAGTTTAGTGGAAAAGCCATCTAACTTTAATACTATCAATATGTTTTACATTACAGGCTAAATATTAAAATAGGTTTTACTGGATTATTATATTGGTTTAGTTCACGAATTGTCTAGTCACAACCTTCAGAGAATCATGTCTCTATTTCAACACCTATATTTATGTTAGGTTTCTGAAATAGAATACAGTGGTCCCTCATTTATCTCGGGAGTTACGTTCTAAAAGTAACCCGCGATAGGTGAAATCTGCGAAGTAGCCAACTTTATTTTTTACAATTATTATTAGTGTTTTAAGGCTGTAAAAAAAAAACCACTGCACACTTTATACACTTTTCTCAGACAGGCATGAACATTTTCACGCTTTTCTCTCTTGTTTAAACTCTCAAAGTTCAAACCTTCGTAGAAAAATAAGTCCAGTATTATAGAATGAAACCAAAGGCACCCGTGGTTGCCTTTGACAGTGCAAACATTGTTGTGTTTGTTGGGGAGAAAACTTACAAACATACAGCACTTCAGAGACAGACAAGCTGCACGCATTCTGTACTGTACAGGAGACACGGCACGAGATTGATTCACAATGGTCTACAGCCAATCAGGATGCAGAACACAATGCGCTGTACAAAAAAAAAAGCATGCAAAATTGCACACAAAAAATCCGCGAAACAGCGAGGCTGCGAAAGGTGAACTGCGTTACAGCGAGGGACCACTGTATAGTATAATAGAATCTTTCAGGTTATATTGAAATTGAGTCACATATTTTTGCATGTAGCTCTTGCTTTTTTAACAGCATTTATTTTTGTTTACAAATTTCTTGCACGAGTTCTCATAATCAAAAATAAGCAGTCACATAGGTTGTATAATTTACTGTTTTCTATTATTTTCTAATATTTCAAGATCTGCGGGTGCAGATCATGTGAGGTGAGGTGCGGACCCATGTGCAGACAACACAGGAAACCGTGAACTTGGGAACAAAAAGCAAGCTGTTTATTTTGGGCTGAACATCACGATACAATATAAAGAAAAACCAGAATGCAAAAATAACCTAAACTGGTAAAACTACTAGGAAACCTTGAAACCATGAAACACAATGAGACAAATGAGCAGAGACTCGGAAGCGGGACAAGAGAAGACTGAACAATACATACACAATGAGACAAGGGACCATCAAAATAAAACAGGATGTGGCCTGCAGACTGGGATCCACACAAGAACACAGACTGGTGAGACAACCACAAGGAGGAGAACATGGGAACGGGTAAGGTGAACACAGACATGGCAAAGGTGTTGAGTGAGAGGGAGTGAGGGACACAGAAGGAAAGAGACATAAACACACATAACACGACAGACACTTACAGGCAACAAAGGGCAAGAGACCAAGACACAAGAGGAACCTAACAGACAAGAAACTAAACTGGGAATACCAGGGAACTCGGGAACATGAAAAGAACAGACTCAAGACTAACTAGCAGAACCTAAATATCATCATTACATTACAAAACAATCACGACAACACAGGAAACTCAAAATACTAGGTCCAAGGCCCAGAACCATGACGCTAGTGCTTCCTACCTCAGTATGGTCACATAATCCCCACTGTCATTCATGGTTACATTGAGAATCCACAGAGTCTCCTCGTGCACCAGGATGTGACCAGTCTGACTGCTGATTTCTTGGCTTGACACTGAGTTGTACCATGTGATGTTGTAGTCAATGATGTCTGAGGACACCAGTGTGTTTCTCAGCATAGCCACATCGCCAGGAACAGAGAAAACCTCAAACTGGAGTTTGTAGTCAGTACAGTTCTCTGCAACATACATGTAAGTGTGGAATAGAGAAAAAAGTTATTTAACCTTTTAATGCTGAGAAATCAAACATTTCAAAGGCAAAGATAATGTTCATTCATCCATTTCTCTGTTCGTATGTCTATTTTCTACCACTAATGTGGGTCTGGTTCACGGGGCAGCAGTCTAAACAAACCACTATCTCCAACAGTGTCCACATCATTGCTGACACTGCATCAATCCTTCAGATGATCTCCCGTTCCACTGTCTCCTCATGAACAAGATCCTGAGATATTTAAACTCTTCCAGCTGGGTTGAAATTTGTGCCTGATTCACAGTGAGCAGTCCACCATTTTCATGCTGAGAACAATGGCCTCAATGTTTGAAGTGGTAATTTTCATTGTAGTTGCTTGACACTCCACAAATTTCCCCAGCTAGAGGTCACCAAGAGATGAAGCCAACAGAACCACATTACACACACATGACATGGTGGAGGAAAGGTGGGGAGCAAGCTTGACTTTGTGAGTTTGTAAGAAAATCTTTGATCCAGGTGCAAGTGAGAGTAAGTAAGATCCAGTAAGATGAAAATATCTGGAATGATGATGTTGAATGTTGAAATAAAAATGGATGAAGAGCATTGGTACATATTTCCCATTCTGTTTTAAAATAATTAGTTCTACGTTGTGAGGGATCGTAAGAGTGTCCCCCGTTTGCCTGTTTAAGATGTATGGAAACTGAGGTAGGGTCAAAAGTGGGACAAAGGTCAATTTTAATTTGCCTCATTGGCAGTCTGTCAAACACTTCAAAACACTACATTATTAGTCAGCGTAACAGCTTTGAAATCATTCAGACTGTCCACAGCAGGCTTTTTAAGAACTTGGATAATAGTGGGCGACTTAAGACAGAATAGGATGTTGGCTTTTGCTAAATTAAAGATAAATGTAAAGACAGACGTTTGTTGATTGGAGCACACCTTCAGGACTTTCCCAGGTATTCCATCAGGGCTAGCAGCCGTCCACTGTTTACTGACCTGAGCTACTGGAGTGCTTTATATTCCTGCACAGACAGGGCCGTAGTGTGTGCATCAGGTGTGGGTGTTGTTGCTGTGCTCAGGACAGGTGTGTTCTTGTCAAATTGGGCAAAGAGTCAATTGTACTCCTTCTCGCAAGTGAAGCATCTGTGTTGGAATGCAAAGCATTCTTGGAGTTGGGCAAGAGTTCAGGCCATGTCTTATTACTCTTGAATATGGGCCTTGTTTTCAGCCTGAGGGGGTGTAGGCTGGGACAAGGAGCATGGAAAGGTGGCCGGATTTCAGTGAAATCACCACGATCACCTTAAATATAGTAATAAAGTTGTTTTCTCTCCCTGGAAAATACACAAAGTTACTCCATTGAAGGCCAGTCTTCCTGTGTAGTGTGAGGAGGTACCATGACCACAACTGCACATGTGGACTATGAATGCACAGGGTGATTCGTGGGATGTCATTATTATGTCTAAGTATAAGTATGTCTGTGCTATCACCAGAAACAACACCAAGCTGCAGGACGCAAAAAAAAATGAACTCCACAGTAATATGCATGAATCTGCCTGTCAGATTTAATTATTATTTAACTGAAGCTGCTGGAACGTCATTCCATGTCATCCACTTTAACTCCTCAGTAATTTGGTCCAATATTGACTTTTCCACAAAAGTCTATTGAATTGCACTTGTTGTGGCTCTTCACCTAGGATCAGTTTTCTTTTTTCTAATCATGGATTAGAAAAAAACATCACTCATCAAAATACTTTGAATTTTTAGTGTACAGTTAACTTTTCCTTTTAGTGGTTGTACTTTTCCAACATTTGATCAGCAGCTCCATAGGGTAGCTCAGATATAAATACTCTTAGGATTTCATGATTGACTCTTAGTATTTTTCCAAAACGATTTATCACCAGTAATA